ATTCAGAAATACATAAATAAAGACAGTTATTGTTACGTTGGCAAAGAGTGATAATTGTATTGGATGGTACTATAAGTATTTCTCATCATTTAAGAAAATTGTAAGAATGTTATCATGGATATTCAGATTTTATAATAATGTACGTAAGAATAATAATAAACAACCATTCTAAGGATTTGACTGTATCTGAAATAGAAAGGGGAGAAAGAAATAGCTTTAATGTTATTAATACAAAAAGAGTCGTTTAATGGTGAAACAGAGATGATAAGCTAAGACGACTCAGACCATTTGTCGATAGTCAGGGTCTAATAAGAGCTAAGTCTAATGTTGCTTATCGTGACGACTCTAGCAGCTTTAAGTTCCCCATCATATTACCTTCTGAGCATCCAGTAGTCAAATTATTGATATTAAGTGCACACAAAGATTTGTTGCATGCAGGTACTACATTATTGATGTCGCATTTAAGAGAAAGATACTGGATCTTAAAATCACGTAAAACTATAAGGAACTGTATAAGAAAATGTGTAACATGTCAGAGATTTAAGGCTAAAAGAGGTGAGACAGTCCCAGGCGTTTTTACCAAATGATAGGGTTCGTGTTTCAGCCATTTTTGAAATCGTAGGGTGTGATCTTGCCGGACCCTTGCATTTAAAGGATGGACGAAAATCGTATATTGTGCTCTTCACCTGTGCGGTTTATCGTGCTATCCATATGGAACTGGTTACGTCATTAACAACTGAATCATTTTTCCAAGCTTTAAGGCGTTTTATCGCACGTCGTGGACGCCTTACCACCATATATTCCGATAATGGGAAACGTTTTGTGGGTGCAGAGAGAGTTCTGCAAACCATTGACTGGGACAGCCTCTGCTATAAGGCTGCTGAAAAGAGAATACAATGGAAATTTAATCCTCCATCCGCCGCTTGGTGGGTGGGAGCGTTTAATACAAATTGTAAAACAAATATTAAGAAAATTTTTAGGTCGTGCTTCTCTTGGTTATGAAGAGTTACTCACCGTCTTGTGTGATTGTGAAAGAATTGTCAACTCAAGACCACTTACGTACGTGTCTGACGATATTGAAGATCCCTTGCCTTTAACTCCAGAAAAATTTCTGCATGAAAATGAAACTCCACAGTCGGGTGTGTACCTGATATTGACAATGTGGACAAAGAAAAATTGAGTAGAAGAGCGAAGTATCTCCAGAGAATGAGAGAATTGTTAAGAGTGAGATTTCGCTCTGAGTATCTAGGGCAGTTAAGACAGCAGTCTACCAGAAATTACAAAAATAAACCTCTCTCTGTAGGAGAAATTGTCTTGCTGGAGGATCAAAATAAAAACCGTGCATATTGGAATTTAGCACGCGTTATTCGAGTGATCCCTGGTCGAGATGGCAACATAAGAGTTGCTCTTGTAAAAAGTAATAATTCAGAGTTCTTGAGACCAATACAGAGATTGTTTAGATTGGAACTGGATAATATAATAGATAATACTCAAAATGAGCAAGTTCCTTTCACCACCAGTAGTGGTAGAGTTGTAAAATCACGAATAATGTAATTTATGTCTTTGAGTTATTATGATTAATTTTTTGTGCTATTATTGTTGTATTATTCCTCAGCATTAATTTTGTTTTCAAGTAATATGATTTAAGTATTAAGTAATTTTCTTTGTTATATAACCATCATTTATATTGATGTAAGTTTTATGTTTTGAGTGTATAGCCATCCACTCAAAAGGTGGGAGAATTGTGGCGACACACTGCCTTTCTGTGGCAACCCTAAAGAATTCGTCTGTCACGAGGATCACGTGCCCGATGATGCATCATTACGTCTACGTCTGTTTTTCTGTTTGATTGTTAGTTGCACTTAAGATTTTGTAGAATTAGAAATGTCGTGAAAATAAATGTTGGTGTTTTTAAAAAGTGTCGGCTCAGATTTTCGAACCTATGATTTACTTGTTAAGCAACAACCACCATAGCGGAGCTAACACGCCGGACTAGCTGGAAGGATATTTCTTTAGTGGTTTAAGTTCATCGTAATCTTATGGATTAACGTAGTGGTAAATTCAACGGAAAGTTTTCGACGGATCTCGAATAATTACAGTGCGAGTGGGTTAGAATAATATATAACCTGAGATAACTGTGAGTACTTCAAGATTTTTGCTGTGCCGATATTCTAGCTAGATATTTGAGGGCAAGAACTTGAATGTTGTTTACTTAAGTTTCGGCTCTTGACTGCGTGAAGAAAAAAATGGACTGGTAATCTTCCCGCCGTGAGTTGTTTTTCGTTTATATTTTGATACCATAGTATATTATATTAAGTGAGGATAGTGTTTTACTTTAGCCAAATTTAATTGGTACAAAAGGAATTACAAATTTTGTAATTAATGTAAAAATTGAAAATACTTAAATAATTTTAAAGGTTAATGTGAGGATTAGAAATTTGAATATTTAAAGTGTCTAAATTTGGGAAGACTGGAATGTTTTAAAATGAGGAATTTTAGTGACATAATGAGTTAAATATGCTTGTCGTAGTGATTAATAAACAAATAGTTTAAAACTATAAAATGTTTAATGCCCAGAAGAAAAATATATCTTTAACAATTTGAAATTTTGATTACATTTAAGAGAAAAATGTTGTAGCGACCTAGATCCAGCTATCCCAGTTATCTATACTTATGTTAACCAAGGATTCATAAACGAGTTTTAATTGTAGATTCTTGCTTATATTTATTTCAGTAGTCTGTCATGTCCTCCTTGTGATGCTTAGGGAAAGCATGGATCTTCTGAAACGAACCTGGATAACTTATTGCGGTTTAGTTGTGGAACTAATTTATTGTTTCTAACTAGTAGAGGCTTTCCTGTAAGCCCGAGAGGGGCCAATTGTTTTTATTATCTGAGTGGAATATACGAGTATTTTAACCCTTATTTAGACTTTATTTTTATAATCGTAAGAAGAACAGCGAATAGTGCTACACTGTTCTCCAAGGTTCTAGTTGGAAAGGGCCCATAAATTAACTAGAACTTTACAGCCTAATAAGTTAAAAAATACCTGGTGATATATAAGATTCCTCAAGTTTTAAGTGGAAAGTTTCATCATCATATTGGCATTGACTTAAATACAAAAGAATTTAGACGCATTTTGACAGGGTGAATGTTCTTTCACCTCCAGTAACAAAATTAATGCTACTAAATGACAAAATTAATGCAAATTTTTAATATTATGAGGTAATGTAATAAATACTTCGCTCCATCTGTTAAAGGTTTGTAAAAAATGTGAAACCATCATTAATAAACGAATAGCAAGAACATAAATTATACTCATTAGCGAAATTTCAAGACTCTTAACACATAAAATTAAGATCAGAATTTTTGGCTTAATTCGATATCTACTTAATGGTATATCCAAATGTTTAAAAGCAGAATTTACTTAACTTAATGTCTCTAGAAACATGAACTGTGAAAATGGAGCGATGAAATGATGTCATAAATATACGTATCTTTAATATTAATTTGCTTTTAAAAAAGCAAGAGCCTGCAAGCAATTTCATTTATTGTATTAGATATGCTTGATTATTTTTAATGTTATGCAAGCAGCCTATTCTTCCTTTTACTGCATTATTTTCTATCAAAGAAATCATTCTTTTAACACGCCTTAAAGAGAAGAGGCGATAGAATTGAAATTTGATGCTGTAATATTTACAGCATCGAACCATTATAGTTACAGCGATGAGTGAGAAATTTGTTACCTCCGGCCTAAATGCAGTGTTGATCTTCTGCATTTCGCCGTTAAATCTCTTACCCTTAAGGGTTTCAAGCGTTTTAAGGTTTATAAAATTCTTTTGCGATTTCTAATACTAACACGTCACTAATTATATCTTCTATCCTTTAAGTTTCCTCTTTTTATCCTTTAATCCTTTAATTTTTCCTTTAATCCTTTATTATTTATCCTTTAATAGTTCATTTTTGCTTTCGTTACAGACCAAATTTCGCTTTTAACACAATCTGCAAATGTTCAATTATATTTATTTCTTTGAGATTTGGTGGCTCAAAGTACACTTGAGATTCTTTTTCATGTTTCACGTTCCCAGCAGTTTGAAGAACTGCTATATTATCCAGCGGAAAACATATTTTCTTGGAGGAACTTCATTACTGTAAAAGAATGTATATCTGTTATACAAGTATGTTCATGCTGATATTGAAAATAAAAGAAGAACCCATAAAGTTGAACCCAGAATCCTTAGAATTTTAAATGAATTTTGTTCAAACTTCACTCTTTTGTAGCCTCGTTTAGGAACTAAAAATCACTAATTATATTTATAATTTAATAAAGAATAATAAGAATGTTTTTCAGAAGTTAGTAACTGTTTAATTGAGGAATTGGAAATGCTAGTTTTGAAATGTGACCAAAAAAAAAAAACGAGAGTATATTCTTAAATATGGTAATTTATTTTTGTTGTCATAATTATCTCTCTGTAACAGCAATGGCTTCTGTCAATATCTAGCATATTCTTTGGATGATTGCATAATGTAAGTGGGAAATAAAACTAAATTTTCCGCTTTCCAGTTCATGCAGAATAATATCATTTTTCTTTGGTAGTCACCTTCTAGGCCCTTTTCATGGCGGCAGGATGTCACATCCGCGTTTTCGTGATTTTCCGAAATGTAACCAAACGATTTTAATTCTCTTTCCTTTTAATGAGAACTGGTGTTTATTTAAATTATTTAGTATAACTGAATCAATTACTATATTGCTTTTATTTAGCAATGATAGAATTATCATTGATAAATAAAAAATAAGTTTTTTTTAATTTTTATTTTTTTTTAATTTAGCCAATTATTATTCTTTAATTGATTTCAGAAATGGTGAAATCTGTACGCTTATAAGACTTTTATATGCTAATCATCTTATCTTACTGTCAATTTTTGTGCGACAATAAGTCCTGGCGTAGGAAATCTACCCAGATCACTTTTACTATTATTTTAATTGCAGATTTCTTTTCAGATGTCCTTCATCTTAATCGTTGCATTCCTAGTGGCCTGGACACCATACGCTGTATTATGCTTGTGGACTATATTCGCTCCTCCCCAAACGGTCCCTCCGTTTTTAACTCTGATACCTCCGCTGTTTGCCAAAGCATCCACTGTCTTCAATCCCGTTATATATTATCTCACCAATCCACGACTTAGGTCCGGAATAGCAGCCACTCTACTCTGCTGCAAGGACACTCCTTTTGAAAGTATTGAGCTGCCTGATTCTCCAGAAAGGGCTCCTGCAGACAACGACGCCATATAAGCCAAAATCTGCCAAGAAGTAATCCGTTATGTTAGAAAAAAAAAAGTGTTTCCATATCTTCGAAAGTATAACTTTCTTCTTTACACTTTTAACCTTCGGGAGTTACCTTTTCCTATGTGAAATACTCACAACTTGGTGGTGTGATAAAATATATGCCATTAGATTAACCGCTTGAAGGAGTAAAAGCTCTTCAAGTATATGCAGAGTCACGCTATCATTCGTAAAGGCTCTGTTTTTAATCGTTTTCTGTGAATTTCGTGTTTTCTCTTTAACTTCCTTATTTTTCTATAATGATACAACTGTTTTGCATGCATTTAATCTGTCAGAAGCTCCTTATGTGACCGTAACTTCCCTGAAACCTTGACGATATTCTAGGACATATGAGTAGAGTTCCTAGGTCGCCCTCGAAATATTATCACACACTAAAGCAGAAAGTAATAAATACCACCAGGGGAGCGTTCCTAATAAGAGTTTGATGTCATTCTAGCATTCCTGAACACCTGTTGCCAAGCTACTTTTGATAATAAACTGTTATGTCTGAAGTGTTATTTGCGACCGATCAAAGTTTATCTTTGCGAGCTTAAGATAATTTATCCTGATTACGTGATGAGTTTATATGTCAAAAGACCTTATATTCTAAAAATAATAGAGAGAGAAAGGGAAATAGTCTTTCTCATCAGGAATAAAGCTACTGAAATACATCACTATCTTCTTATTTTCATCATATTTTTTAAGCTTTAATCATGACATATTGCAATAGATTTCTAACATTCGTAAATTCGTATAAAAAGTATTAGAATCGTAGAATTTACAAAATAACAGCTGGAACAATATTGCTCCTGCTGTTCGAAATAGAATTTATAGTTGCTTTCGCGAAGATGTACGATTATATTAACTGCAAAAAAGTTCTGTAATGGAAAAAAAAAGAACTTTTCAAATGAAACAAGCTAAATAAACTTTACTTGAAATTTAAAAAGAATAGCTCTATTCTCAATAATATCAGAACAGAGCTGCTGTCGAAAGATTCAAGATAAACGTCCTTACATTAAAGCAGCGAGAAAGCCGCAAAGGACTGGCAGCTATTAAAAATTTTTCAACGATTCCGTTTTCCATAAATCAATTCTTTTCAGAATTCTACGAATTGTCGGACTACGAATTGTTAGTTATTTTTGACTTAGAACGATACTGTATGTCATTTCTTTAGTAAACTATTATGGCTTCTTCTCCTTCTCCTCCTTCAATGTGAAGCCTGGCTTCCTGTATTGCATATTCCACTATGGCTTTGTTCTATCATAAGCCACTAGGACTCATACTAAAAAACGAAAATAAGCTTTCGGAGAACTAGAGTTGCAGTTATGTAATTGATATAAATGAAGCTTACATAAATATGAGGCGAAATAATGATAATTATAAATCTTTGGTTATACTTAAAAATTATTTTCATATCTGGAATTCTTTTGTTCTACAGTAAACGCATTTTATATATTAAAAAAAGCACCCTAAATCCCTTCAACAATTTTATCAATGATTTTTAAGAATTTTAACTCAAATGCGGTTAGTTTTAAATGAGTACCCATTTGCCTTAGGAATTTCAATAGATTTTATATATTTCAAAGGACAACTATTCACTCGTATAAATATAAAGTAATTTTTTGTTTCTAAAATTACTTACTTCGGTCTTTTGAGCATAACTGGAAACGAAAATAAAATGTATTATGCAGGCTGTTTCACAAATAATTGCCCAAAAGAATGAATCAACGTTTACAATATACTCGACATGAAAATTTTGTACAGGTTACAGAGCTTTCGTAAAGCGAAGAAAGCCAGTTGCGCCCTCTTGGAGAATCGTACCAAGGATCTCCCAGTTAGTGGCTAGGTATGATAAGCTGTAGCACAAGGAGACGCACAAAAATAGTCCTGTAATTCTTCCCGTTCACTTCCATTAAAGAAAAACTGGAAGAGGCATGAAAACTAGTCGGCCAAAGCCAGACGGTGATGAGTTCGTCGTCTTTCACGTTCTATTTTGGACACCACTTTTTAGGTACTATTAGGTCTTTGAAGCAGGAGACTAAAAAAATCGGCTGGACACCGATAATGGGACCACGAGTCTTCCATTTCTTAGCTGAATCTGTTACTACAGCAAAAAGACACAGAGCAAAGGTATGCTATAAATCCTTACACTCCTTACAGCATGACATGTGGCCTACAGCTTACTGTAGTACTTGACAATAAAGCACCATTCACAAACCACTGCTGGAAGTATCTGCCTCAAATAAATTTGGAAGCAACTTTCCATACCGTCTTAAATCCTTCTTAAGATGTTTTTATCAATAGTTCAACGGAATACTTTCCGTATTGCTCTCCACGTTTTCTAAAGAGTAAATCTTTCTTATGTAGACATTTCGGATTTTCTTATGTAGGCATTTCGGATATTACTGTAAGAAAAAAAAATGAAAAAATTGGTAATTCCAAATTGGGTGAGCTAAGCGTTCAAATCTTTTCGACATTCCTGGGTTTCAAATTTCTTTATATACATGTGATCTATATAGCATGCCTCACCTTGTTAATTTATCAATTCTATGTTTGTTGAGTGTTCCGTAACCTAGGGTAAAACAGAGACACATACATCAATATTTAGCGCATAAAAAACTGTAGGAAATGTGGCCAATTATTAGAGTTCAAGATACACATCGAAAACCAACTTTTAAAATATATTATGAACTTAAGTATAATTCATGTGAATTACTATAGTTTAGATTTGGAAGGAAAGGAATCACTGACAAAAGATGGATACTCTTTTAGATTTTTTGCATAGCTGTAGTGTGTCTGATCATTTTTTCTCTCCGCTGTTATCCTAAAATTCATGTTATGTTACTTTTAAAGACTGTGCTAAACAATTAATGTTTCACGAAAAATACCCACTCCACAGTAATATACGCAGCCATCTTCTTATTCAATGACTCAATGAAGCAAACCCACAATAATTATCTGGCGGGGAAAACATCACTACATAAATCAGTCATCACCTTATCACGAGCATCATTAGCAATACGTTTTTACGAGTCTCAAAACCATTTGAAAACATAAAGCTGTGTTTTTATAAAGAAAGAATATTTAAAAAAAGAAAAAGAACGAAACGACTATCCTGTGAAATATTCTGCATTATTTTATTTCCTGAAAATCATTTCATTCTGAAGAGGTGAAAGAGTAAAATATATTAAAACGTGGTTCTAATAGAATACAGATTTCTTTTTAAGTAGGTAATAGTGTAGATATAAAGTATAATTTTAAATGAAGATAGAATACCTACATCCTTTTTCTATTTCACTCTACCAAATTCAATTATTCAACATTGCAACTGGCATTGTTCTTTCTAACTTGTGCAGTATGTTAAACTAACATGTGCAGTATGGATGATTTAATCGTGCGATGTCTATATCTTTAAAACTTCTATTAAATATGCGTTTTATTCTATTCATTTCAAGAATTCTGCTAGACTCTAAAACTGAAATTTAATAGAAATATTTTCAAATCTTAAATTTTCTAACTCTGACCTAACTATATTGAAAAGAATAAACTCTAGTCTCCGAACCATAATAAAAGCTTATTTTTGTGAAGATAAGAATTGTAGTAGTGAATATATAGAATTTATTTATTAGTTATCCTCCAATGTTATCGTATTTTTCCTCTAATAGAGAAACAATCAAAGGATAATTCTTTTCCACTTCATATCAGTTAATGCTTAGTATTTTACTTAAAAAATGGAGCAATTTGAGAGAAATGATATTTTAGTTTCATTATACCATTTATCTTTTAAAATTAAATGATGTAAATTGTAAATGATTTAAATTGTAAATGATGGCAGGAATTTTTTACATAAACTAAAGATAAAATAAAATCCACAGTTCAGCTAAATCCGGATGTTCGAATGAAATAAAATGATCGTGATATGATATTAAAGATTTCATCATTAAATGTTTGACTTTATTAACTACTTATTTCATAAAAATATTTTGCTAAAATTCCTTACATTTTGTCACATCACTTAAATTTTTGTCATCATTTACAAATTTGCAAACTTTGTTACTTGGCTCTCTTCCCTAAACAGCTTTAATTTATTTTGCTTAAAATACAATAAGAAATAATATTAAAATATTTTAATAGGTAATGAGTACCATTGTTTTAAGAAGCGGGCTAATTTAAAATTAGAAATTAACATTTAGCTGACATGAAAGGAATCGAATTATGAATGCTCTGTTGTCCAATATCTGTTCATAGTTTATTCCGAAAGTAAACTAAGTGCAAAATTTATAATATATGCATTCGTCCAAATAAAATGAAAACTTTGTGTATTCATTTAGCAAAAGAGCAAACATGAGTACAAAGTAAGAGCTGTTCATTAACTCATTTAGATGAAGAAGTCCATCCTTTAAATATTGCTTATGCCTCTTTTATTGGAGAATTCAGTGAAATGTTGTTTGAATCTAGTTCTCTAGAATAGAAAACTTATGACAGGATTTGCGATTTTAAGCTTAACTGATAATTTTTTGAAATGTTCTTCTTAGATACGTAATAAGCTCTTACTTCATTAACATTGTTCGTACTCTTATTCTTTTAGCTTGGAATTTTATTGAGAGTTGACTTTACTTCAGTTCTTTAGCTTTTTTTTATATTAAACAAAATTTGATTATAAAGTTTGATAGAACTTAAAATCATGTATTGAGAAAAGTGTATTGAGCCAAAAAAAGAGCTATATATTTACCTTAAATTTTGTATTGTATGCATTTTATCTTCAGTAAAAATAAAGAGCTTTAAAATATTTTTTTAGTGTTTAAATGTCTATCAACGTGCTTTTTATAACTCATGCCAGTATTTTTAAATGATTGTTAGCAATAAAATTTAGTTATTTTCTTTCATTTTAAGTTAGATTTATTAGCCATGCCGTTAATATATTTTAGAGATATACGTCAGATATACAATAAGTTTGGAATGAGTATGCAAGGAAATATAAAATGATGAAGTCTGTTATTTGTTACATGCGCGTAAAATGAGCCTGTGTTTAGACTCAAAAAGGAATGGTAGAAAGAACTTATATCGACTGTGATTGAAACCATTTAGTGATATTGGAAATAAAGTAATACTTTTAAGAATTATAAATATCAGATTAAAATTGTAATTAAAAAGAAACTACTGATTTATTAAGTATTCAAAATTATTAATTAAATAATTAAAATTAAACTAATATTCAGAGTTGCTGTCTCCGCTTTATATTACAAAACATAACTCGAAATAAGCTTCGAAATTTCTAAACATTGGTATAAAAATACAAAACATCATTTATTTGTGTTAATTATCAATTGATTCTGTGTGATGTTGTTACATATAAAATAAGTGCATCCAAGTAACTAATATTACGAGAAAAATTAGTATTTTGTTGAAAAATTAACGTAATATTATTTCCAAACAGATAAAATTCATGTAGAAGTTTTCTTACTGAAAGAACATTTTCATTCTGTGTTCGTTGTTTTCCGCTTTTTTAAGTCAGTATTTTTCCAGTGGTATTCAGCAGAATCTTGAGGTTCCATGTGGTGATATTCAGGCTCCCTTTGGTAATACTGAGGATCACCGAAAAGTTATAAAATAATATATTATATACTTAAAACATTTCGCACATATAATATATATATATGTGTGTGTGTGTATGTGTGAAGGCTATAACTTCCGTATTAAATTACTTTGTAATTATATCCGAGAATCTATTCCTGCCCCTTATAAAGATTGATCGTTACATCAACTACAACATTTATCTACCTAAATATTAAGAAATTATTTCCAAGCTGGATTAGAGTGATGGACAATTTCTGCAACAAGGCCACTCCATCGGTGTTGCGAATTTCCTGTTCGCTGGATTTCTTAGTCATGAGTTTTCATAAAGGGATTTGAATGACTGGCTTCTAACTGAAAATTTATCAACTCATCTTCTTTAACAGCATTTGTAATACTGCAAAGATACACGGCGAGAATGCAGAAAAATGTATTGAATTCAGAAATAATCAGACAAAACCAATGATCGGAAAAACGGCAGACGCTTTGATATGACGCTGTGACAGCAAAACCTGCCCATTAAAAATAAAGCTTTGTGTTCTTCTCAAATTCATTAGTAGCTGAATATTTCTGTCATATTTCAAATGGTGCTAATTGAAGAAATCCAAATTATTGTTGTTATCATGTTGTTTGTTGTAGTTACCATTATTCAAAATTATAAATGAATATATGTGTAATTACCCATTTTGTTTTGCATACAAATATCCAATGGCTATCCAAAAGTAAAATCTTTAAGAAAGATAAAAATAAAAATATGTAAAAATAGTTTGCATGTTTCGTGAGTCAATTTCGATTATGTGACAGATTAATGAATATTTAACGCTTATATTCACAAAATTATGACTGAAACACAAAATTATAACTGAATATGTTGTTCGCATATTCACAAAATTAAATGAAATATGTTTATCATAGGAAAAAAGTAAACATTTTTCATGAAGAGAGAAGAATTTTCACTTCGTCGTAAGCTATTATTTCAGATGACAATAGTGGAGCAAAATAATTTAGATTCTTTTATAACCTTTCAGGATTTTCTTCGTTTAATAAATTTCTTATTTCTTCACTATACTCAAAGAAATAATACGCAGCGGCTCTGTCGATTATTTTCAGGATTTACCACACGTCTATTAATCAAGGGTTCAACTGTCAGTCACAAGAAATAAAAGGAATAATTTTTCAACGAAGATTATTAAAAATCTGATTGATATTAATTCTCTCAATAAAGTAACGCAAAAAGTTTAAAATTTTTTTCCTATTGCTACTTCTCCAAAGAAAAATACAACTTTCAGTTCAAAGTACGTGACTTTAAAAGATTTAATTAAGAAATTTTTCCGTTTGAGAGGCAATAATCTTTTTATGATAAGTTAAAAGTATTTCAATGATTAAAGTGGTTCTGAAGAATATGTAAAGATTCCGTCTCTGAATTTAATAGGAAAATGCTGCCATAATTCTGCACTTAAAAAGAGTATTACTTCTATTTTTTAACTAATGGTGTTTGAATATTCTGCTACGTTTTCGTAAATGTAGCTGCCATTTTTTATGTTATTTTTTACCATTGTCTTGGAAAATAAATTATTCCAAAAGAGCTGTTCTACTTTTCAGAACTGATTTAATATACTCCGTATCACATGTGAATACCTTTAACAAACCGATGTATTTTAAACTATTTGTTTTATGCGTATTATAAAAAATATATAAATTAAAATCATTTTATTTTAATAGGGGGGAATTTCTACATGATTAATTATGAAATTTAAATGCAGTTAAAAAGAAGAAGGCATAAGGTTCAATTATTTTCAGTCCTGTTCATATTTGAATATTAGCCTGACTCTGAATCCATTTGAAACTCATGCTTTAAATTAATAAACATTACTATGTAAGATTTAAAAATAGTTAATTTCAAGAATATGTGTAGGCTTTTGTTAATTTACGACTGATTGAAAGCAATTAATTATAAAGTACTATAATTTTTCATATTTCGTACAGTTATAATTTGTAACAAAATCTATAGATTTTTATGGCAGTATATAACTTATCGTTAGTAGAGAATATTCTCCATTATTTCACTCGAGTGCTGGCTCTCCTAAATTTTCATAAAGACTTCAGATCAAATTCAAGTCAACAATATAGGCTCCAAAAACTGTGTTGGAATATAGACAGTAGATATAAAATAGCAAAAAATACTCGTATCATAAAGTTGAATTTGAAGTGTCTGTTGGCTAAACTAAAAGAAGAAAAAATTGAACGGCTTTTTCCCAAAAATTTGTGTTTCAAGTACAAGCAATGTATGCTACTCGAAAATGTGTGTTTCAAGGACAAGCAATGTAATACATTAAAAGAAAATTTTCTTTAATAATTCTTTAATAAATTCCTAACAGAATCAACTAAAATTTTCAGAGACAGTAATATTTCTAGAAACACAAATATTTGCAATATAAAATATTTTTCTTATATTTCTCGCCATATAAGAACTTCCTGTATACATACTTTTTAACAAACACTAGTTTTTTTCCTTTCACAAATTCAACTGAACACAAACAGTTGTAAAAGCTATTTTATATTTTTATAGCACTAGGATAAAATTCATAGCTATTAGATTAATACATATGCATAACCCTGAAAAATTTTCGTCAGATTTAGAACATATAAAAAGACTCATGCTTTTATACATAAAAAAAGCGTTTAAAATTCATTGTAAGAAAATAGGCTTCCAGATGTTCAGTAAATCTCCAAGAGTTCAAGCATCAAACATAATTTTGCTTACATTTACAATGAATAAAAACACTTTCTTAAAGCATACTACTCCCGTACTTATGATAAGCTGCAATGCGTAACAAATTAGCTTTTGATGTATTTTGAAATTTAGAACAATTTAGTTTTTTTTTACTCCTAAAATATCTATGAAGCTACTTTTTTGCTCTGAATTTACTTGGATGCGAGCTTTTTATTTTTTATTACTTTTATCTTTTTTTATGTATATTATCTATTTTGTAAAAATGTCGTAATAAGTATACGTATCTTTAGTGTTAAAATATAATGAATATTTAGAGATAAATATATTTGCATATATTGATGTTGTATTTAAAACCAACTCTATTATCAAATTTTTGGTGGTGGTGTAATAAAGAAATTTTGTAGATATTAGAATATGTTTCATTTCTTTCATAACGAACATGCTCCTGATATACTCCATTAATTCATGATGAAAAATAACGACTCATAGTATAAAATCCAATTCTAAAAGGCACAATCTATACTGTAGCCTTACCCAGAACTGCCTGTTGGGCTTACTGCCTACAATGTATGTAGAATTCCATTGCCAATTTAATGAATTCCATTGCCAAATATGTAGCCAAAATATAGAATATGTGTCAAAATGTAGAATTCTTTTGCTAATTTAAATTGTGAGTTACACAATTAAACAATAATCCAAAACAAGCTTTTCTTTGAAGACAAAGTAAATATATAAATTAAGTTCGAAAAGAAAAATTAGCAAGATTTTTATATTGACATCTTTAATTTCTATACTTGACTATTGATTAATGACTATAATGTAGTAATGGTCGTTTTTATCGGATCACAACCGTATTATTTAATTTAAAACTTATTTAGTGTTACTAAACTGAAGGTTTGGAAATAAAACTAACTCGGAAGTGAGAGAGAATTAGTCTCAGTAATATTTATCTTCACTGCAAGTTCAGTCATTATAGATATGAATTATAGTCAAAGTGATTTACTACTTAAACTGTACTTAACCTCTTTCAACCATTAAATAATTTATATTTTCTTGTAGAATAAAAGTTTCACGTATTCGAAATAAAAATTTTAAAAAATCTTAGTTTTAAAATTTTATATTAAGCTCAAAGGATTGTTTTTTTAACATTTTGTGAGTTACCTTTATTTATTAAATGTCATGTTTTTCTCATTTAAACTATAAAATTCAATTCAACAACAGTATCACAAAATAATTTAAAAGGAGCATATATTTAGAATTCCCAATACACAGTCTCGCGTGCTGGAGATAAAAAATTTAATTTTCTTTTTTTCCCGATACAGTTAAAACATTAAAGAAAATAAAGTAAGTTTTTTCAAGAAACTGAATTTGACACTATTGACTGAGTCAGAAGATGAATTTATTAGAAAATTTATTTTAAATTGGAAATAGCAGAAAAATGAAGAAGTCTTTAAAGCATACAGATAATTTTACGCATATTTAATTTACCTAAATAGAAACATTAATAACAAGTTCGAAATCAGTATTTGTTTTTAATTTACTTTATATTTTACAAATTTGCTGACTAAAATTATTGGAAGGTTTATTAGGAATCTCTTGTACCAGGCAAATCTTGCGCTCTTGAAGATTTTGTATGTGAGTTGTATCTTCGAATTTGTAATCAAATAAAAATGATAAAAACTTTTTTATCTATATGTAAGAAATAAAAATATCAGAATTCATGCAGATGAAACCCGTAAAAACCCAGAAATTTTGTACAACTAGAATCTAGAAATAAACCACATTTTAAATTATTATACAAGCAGAATGTCCAATCTCCGAGTTTTTTTTTTAAGGATTCTTTTGTAAATTGCAGTCATTTAAACTTTTTTCTGATACTTTGGGTTTGTAATAGTTATGAAACTTTTTGAGATGCCATCAACTGTAAATTTCTCTGAAGGACTGAAACTTACTAGAAGCATATTTTTTTATATACTTTTCCTTCTTCAGCTTTTTTCTTTTACTCTTTTTAACTACACTTTTCACACAGATAGGATAAATCCTAATTTTTCACGAAATCCGAATCGAAAAGGTTTCTCGAATTTTTTGAATCTTTCTAATAAGAATAATGCAAAGAAGAAAGAAAATTTCTCAGCAATCAAAACTTTTATTTTAATAATTTTTGAAATTTATTTTTAATTGAAACATGTATCAAAATGTAGTTTTTAAAAATCACGCTCCATCATCAATTTTTGGAGATTCTGAAATGTACATATGTTGTTTTAACAGTAATTCATACAATATTCTAAAAGAAAATAATAAGAAAAATATGCTCGTTGTCTTCCATATTGCTATTAACGTATTAATTGAAGTAAACTCATTTATAAATAAGGACTTTTCATCATTTTAAGGACTCATCACTTTAAGGCCTTCTCATCATTTTCATTCCATTGTCATTCTCTCTTGCATTCAATATTTTTTTCTCTTTAAGATTAATCATTTCAAGCTTTTGATTTAAAACGGGATTCATACTTTTCTTCATCGTCCTTACAAAAAATTTTTAAAAAATTAAATCTTTTAAAGTTCTATACCAGGTAAAGAATATATGATGTTAAAAACATATTTTATTGATTAAAATAATGATACGGATATTAATAAAAATTATTAGTTAGCTGAATTAAAAATTCTCTGCAGTTTAGAATTACTTCATTTACGCAGATTTTTAAAAGAAAATTAAACGAAGGTTACTGTCAAGAGTATTTGTCACTGGTACCCAAAAGATTGACAATCACTTTTGTTCAACAAACGAATCTCCACTAAGAGATTGTGCACTAAACTCATATGTCATTTTTTTAATTAAAGTTAGACCGAAGTAAAGGGTGTTCCAAAATTCATGCAAAATTTGAATTTAGCGCCATTTGTGTGATAAAGTGTTGCCAACGGAAAAGAAAGCATGACAATTGATAGTTCAAGTTTATTAAAAATGTAGCGCTACATGAAAGAACAACGCGTTTTCATTGTTGAACAACATTTTTTAAATTATGAAAATTTGGCTGCTACAGTTTGTAGTTTTCCTACAAAATATCGTCGGAATAGTGATTTAACTTCATCAACTGTGACGAGATTAATTAAAAAATTTAGGGAGATTGGATAGGTTACTGATCTTGAACACCCTGATTGTCCTTCAAAAAGTTGTTCAGCATAAAACACCGAAGCAGTTCGTTAGAGTGTTGTTGAGAATCCATGAACACGTAATCAAGAATTGTGCATTTCAAGAAGCTCTCTACAGCGTCAGCGTATTTTTGCATTGCCATGCTTGCAAAGTTCAATAACACAAGAACTGAAGCCTACTGATCACGAACAGCGAAGAAAATTCGTTGAACAGATTATGGAACAAAAACAAGTGGATGCAAATTTTTTGAACAAAATCATCTACAGCGAAGACGCTCATTTTCATTTTGATGGCTTCATTTGGGTTCTAGAAAATCCACGAGTGAATGTTGAGAAACAAATGCATCCACAGTATGTCGCTATTTGGTGCGGATTTGGGGCTGGAGGCATCATAGGACCATTCCTTTCAAAATGTGGCTGGTCAGGCAAAAACAGTTAATGGTGCTCGCTATCGCGATATGATAACCCAGATTTTTTTTATTTTCAAAAATCGCAATATATGTATGTTTACGACACGTAGTTTCAAAAACACGGCGCCATATGCAATACAACCCGAGCAACAGTTCAATGATTGCATGAGTCATTTCCCGGTCATGTAATTTCCCATTTTGGTGATCAGAATTGGCCGCCTAGATCATCTGATTGAACGCCATTGGACTTTTTTCTTTGGTATTTTTTGAAGTCTAAGATGGCAACAAGCCCACGACCACACACGCCTCGAAGGAGGAAACTAAGAGCTGTATCGACGAAATTCAGCTCACATTTACGGAAAACGGTCATGGAAAATTTCACCAAATGAGTGCGTATGTTCAGCAAAGCCGTAGACGCCATTTACCCAACATGCTATTTCATACACAATTCTATACAGTATACTTTATGAATCTATAAAAAAATTGCAATTTTTAACTCTACACCTATGTTTTCTATCAAAATTATTTCTTGCTTGAATTTTGGGACACCCTTTACATAGTGGCTGGTTACTGCTACTGATCATCTCTGACCCCTAGATTCATGGTCACTGGAGGATCAATCAAAAGTCCATTAATGTAGAGCAGCGGAATAAAGTTTAAAAAATTTCAGCAAATAAAATTTAACCGAAGGACACCAATACTCTTCAAAATAAATGGTCATTGGTAATTTACGGATTGGTTACCGTACTACACACATTACTAGTACTACAGAGTACACATTAGTAGTACTACACACACATTAATAGTACTACACACACATTAGTAGTACACATTAGTAGTACTACACACATTAGTAGTACACATTAGTAGTACTACACACATTAGTAGTACACATTAGTAGTACTACACACATTAGTAGTACTACACACACATTAGTACTACTACACACATTAGTAGTACCACATTCAGTATCGGTTCAGTTACCGTTTCTACTGAAGATCAACCATTAAGCCCACGGTTGTGGGGAAAAGTAGTAGATTCAGATAATTTTTTTTAAAATCCAATGAAACCGAAGGAGACAGTTGACCGCAATCGAAGGACAGCTGCCACCCACAAATCCATAATCACCCAACACCAGGATAGGATGGGGCTGGTCTGATCGAAGCAGTCAGTTTGAAAAAAGGGGCCAACACCTTTTTTCAAATTGGTTGTTCGCCAAGACACAAGAATAAAGAAGAATGCCTTTTTCAAGATGCTAGGACACTCAAATGAAGGTCTTTTATTTTGGCAAATAATCATCAACTTTCATAAAGGTACCGACATCTTTATGACAGGGTATCGCTGTAAAATCGTCAGGAATTTTCATCTTGGGACATAAAAATTCCTTTCTATGAAGTAAGGAATTTGATCCAAGAGGTATGAATTTCCTATGAGCTAACGACATCGGGATTAAGACGAGGAGTTTAATATGTTTATCATTACTTTATATTCATTTTTTGATGGGTTAGATGTGAAATTAAATATTTTTCTAATGAGTTTGTTGTTTTCTGTTGCATGAATCCTTCAATTATGATTTACGTTACATCCATCTAACCATTCATATCAGGTGACGAGGCGGAACTGTGGCCACCGGCTTCTCGGATAATTTCCCGAGTTTTCAGATAGGCCCATCCGCCTTGACTGTCAAGACCACTGATTTCTGGAGACCTATGAGTTTTCATTTACCAGTGTTAACTTGTTACTAAAACAACACTACATTGTCTTACAATTCAAAATGGTAAGGAAATGCAGTAATGTTAAAATGGCAACGGCAACAGTTCCAAAGCAATGAATGATAAT